AGTACTCTGTCCACTTTGTCTGAACTCTGCTGAACTCTGGCCTCATACTCGCCGTGATGCGCTGCGCTGAACTGATCGGCACCGGTACGATGTTTCTGTATAGAAAGCTTTTTATTACTCAAAAATTTTCTTTCATCTCAAATTGACGACGACGTGTCGTGGGGAAGACGAATGATGAAAGCTGTTAATAAAGTGAAACGATGATGAAAGTCCATATATGACGATTTCCATCGCGTTATCACGTTACGATTTTGGTTCACTGGAGCCAGCCAATCAGAGGTACAAGTACAAGAAGCGATACAGAAACGACAATAAGCGATACCGCGTTCGGCACTCTAATTGGTTGGTTGATTGGAGCCGGCCAATCAGATCACGTATGTACCTAATTAATGCTGTCTAGTTTCAACGTAAAGTAAACTAAACCCTGTGATTGATCTGCTCCAATTAATCAAATACGAACTAAGCCCTTACGCGGTTGAGGCAGCGAAGCGCTGCCTCCTCGCAACCCAGCCCTCGCGAAGGACACTCCGGGCGTCGGGGTCGCAGGACAATCTCCGGCCACTGTAAGCGCGGGCCTGCGGACGGTGAGCATGGGTGGCTCGCCGCCCGACCAGAACTAGACCCGAGCGTACGCCGCGTCGCGTTCCGCGCGCGTCTCATAGAGCCATCAGACAATTACGGATGGGGCCCAATAGGGCTGATGCCGATTCGGGTCGCGAAGAACCTAACGGGTAACCGGGGCTCCGGCTCGACGTGCAGGAGAAGGAACGGGGTGGTTTTTAGTCAGTAAGAGTCTGACACTCCCTCCCGCCTCACCCAGGCGGGAGCAGTCATTCGATGATTTTCCCCCCTTAAAAAAAGCACTCACGCACTCAGTCTATCTTCTCATTTACCCCCTTCTCCATAAAACAAAACATTTTTGACAAAACAGATAAAGGATAATATAACTGAATGAATTATTTTATTTATTCGAAAGAGCACTGCCACATAAGTAACATATAACATTTTGTTAACACACACGTTAACACTTCCGATGCACACATTCATCATCAAGAGAGGGACGCTGGCGGCATGGTTACCGTCGGACCCGCGCGCCCTAACACTTTACAACAACGCGACCAGGATCGCATGATTTTTAGTTATAATTTTATACCATTGTACAAGACCTAATATATACCTTTGAAACACAGTTCGCTTTTTTTAATATTTTTTTTTGCGTATGCCGATTATCGAGCAGATGGATCACCTGATGGTAAGCAATCGGTGCCGCCCATGGATACCCGATATACAAAGGCGTTACAAGTGCGTTACCGGCCTTTTGGGAATAGGGAATTATAGGGAATATGGGAATTTGGGGAGCGCGGAGGATTCGGAGAATCGGGACACTAGGGACTAGGAGGGTAATTGGGCCTCCGGTAACCTCACGCGCACGACGAAACATAACGCGAGCGTTGTTTCACGTCGGTTTTCTGTAAGGCCGTGGTATCACTCCAGTCGAGCCGGCTCATTCGTTCCGAAGCATGGCTCTCCCACACTTTTATTTTCACCTGGCCCTATCTACATTTAAAATACACAAAGTAAAAAAAAAATAATGGATATGACAATAATGGCGTACATGGTACTGGAAATTGGATTTTAACACCCTGAAGTAGACAATGAAATGGCTCCAGGTGATCGGCAAGGTTCCAACAGTTCCCAGAAAAATACAAAAAAAAATCCAATTCAGATATTTTTTAAATTATAAAGATTTAACTATGTGTTATCCACGAAAAAGAACGACCTGTGCCAGTCTCTTGACTATTATTGCTACAATTCTTTATTTTTTCGTCTATAAAAACTATCTGACTTGGAATATTTTTAATATTGAGAGAAGAAAGTCATACAATGACTTCTCCCGCCTTGAATGAGGCGAGAGAAAGTCTCAGACTCTTACTAACTCAAAACCTACTCTTGTTTCGAGTCGGATCGCCCTATCTTACGTCGATGGTAAAGTTTTAACATCTACAGCCTATAAATGCCCACTGCTGACCAAAGGTCTCTTCTCGCACGGAGGTTTGAGCAGTAATCACCACGGTTGCTTAATGCGTTGGCAATTTCAAACGTATGAAGAGAAATTATAAGCTCAAGTTTCCTCACGATGTTTTCCTTCACCGTTTGTCAGTGGTGTCTAAATAATTTTAGAAAGTACATATAACTCGGAAAAAGTTATCTCTCTCTCTCTCTCTGAAGAGGTGCTCATTCCAAAATGTAGATTCGAATGGAGAAGAACGAGCAAGAAACTCCATTCGTTACTCTTTAAAAAAAGTATGTTCTACAATATCTCTGATACATATTCCAATACTGTACTTATATGTGAGAACAATGCAAAGACACGCTTGACGCATTATACTAATTATACAAAACTTACTAAAATAAAAACAAACAAAACAAAAATCTTATAATCCAACATGGTGCTCACATATGCATACCGACCACAGATATAATAAAATATTTCTTGACACCGACAATCTATAAAAATGGATAGCAAAAGCTCTTCAAAAGATTACCTCGACTGGCTTCATGTTCCTCATAGGTTTTGGTCCATCTGAATCCATAATCGTTAATACGAGGTCCACAAACTCCTTACGCGACTTTTTAGGCAAAGAGTACGCGACCCTGCCCGATCGACCAGCCGAACAATTCTTTGATTTATTTTTGCCGTCTGTTGTACGCTTCTGACACTTTTTGAAGCCTAACATAGTCACATTGAAACTAAAATGAAATGACAGAAATTAACGTTTAAGTTCTAGAGGCTCTTTTTGGTTTAGCTTATTGAGCAAACAGTGTACTAAGGTACACATCTATCTCGAGGGAAGTAGGCTAATTTTGTGAGACTCTAATATCCCAAATGGAGGCTCCTGAGCAACATCGCTAGAGAGCCCATCCTGCTCGTAGAAACCGCCTTGACGCCTAACACACCGCAATCCCGCTTTATGAACAGCAAGTGGACTTTTGGGGCCACGGGTGCATAGAGTGGGGACTCTAGTGGCCTCAGGGAAGACAGTAACACAGTGGTCACGTGCTACCGTGCAAAGTGATGATCAAGGGACACGCAGGCAGGACATTCATGATGTGTACCCTAGGGATGTGTAACAGGTGCACCGTGGGGGCTCCTGAGCAGGTCTGTCAGTCACTGCTACAAAATAGGCCTTCTCTACATGTAAGCGAATTATAATCTTCACAGAGATCGGTTTAAAAGGTGTAGGTTTGTCAGAGAACCCTGTTGCCCGACACTACAGGAGGATAACATGTATTCGACTGTGAAGTCACCGGTCTTCATCGCAGGCAGGACAGACACAATACGCATTTATCATAGCGCCTGACAATAAAGTTATAGCAAACAGATGACGCAAAAATTTTCTTCAGGCGCTAAAATTCCTTATTTCATCTCTCATTTCCCCGTCTACAGTACAGCTAAAATAGTTTCTAAATATCAGTAATTACCTCTACAAAAAAAAATTAGACAACCAATGAACACTAGAACAAAGTTTCACAAATATTGTTTGTTTTTTTATCAAAGGAATTTTAATAGTTTGCAGTTTTTTTATTCGTTTTCTTTGTGTACTTACATAAATAAACAATTTGAATTTTGACTCGAAAGTTCATAATACCGTGACATTGACATACAAATGCCATATACATTTTTTTTAGGCCGATTCATGGTACAAGGAGTTTTACTAAAGAATTCGATAGACCTCTTTAGTAAAATGCTTTCGTACTTTGTTTATGGTAGCCAGAGCCGTATCTGCCGTATGAAATAACTTTGTCCTACACTTGGTTTTTCTCCTGTGTCGTTCACAGACATACAAGTATACATATACATGACACCCAAACCCGGAACAACAATCTGTGGATCACACAAAGAGTTGTTCCGGGCGGGAATCGAAACCGCGACACGTTGCGCGGCAGGCAGTTGCCCAGCCACTGCGCCAACCGTGTCGTCGAATGAAAACTTTTTATTTTTTTAAATCACAAAAGAAATAAACGTTTTATTTGCCTCGTAATGCATAATGCTTTTGAAGGTTAGCAAAAACTATAGAATAAGTAATCATTGTCCGATAATTTGGGCAAAAATCTTATGAGAAATCTTTACCTTTCATTAGGGCACCCAAATATTCTTTTTACACGGACCAAGGCACGTAGCGTGCCACTGAATAGAACACAAACGAGCAGAGTCCATAGATCACCTGATGTGAAGCGATCAGATGGAGGGTGTCCACAACACCAGAGCCGTCACACACAGCCACACAGGTGCATTTTCGGCCTTGTAAACTGCTGCCTCGTTGGTCGAGTCGTCCAAAGAGCTATACTACTGACCTGCTATGAGGGTATCCAGTTTGGTGCCGGGTCAAAAGAAGTCAGGAATAATCCGTTTTTTAAAAATGAATGAATGAATTTTAAAAATCGAAATACTGTTTATTTTTATAATACAACAGTTTCAAATTATAGGTACTTACTTTAGAAAAAGTGTAGGTAATGCAGACATCCACAAATATTTATTTTACAAAATAGTATGCCGAGGACTTTAAAATTGTAACACATACTTTTAAAAGTTCAAAGTCTAACACAAAGCATTTATTTTAGTTAATGCTTAATTTAGGCACTTTTGAAACATTAAATTGAATTGTCTGTGAAGCTAGGTGCATGTCCAAAAGTGTACTTTGGAATGGAGAAAATCGAGCAAGAACCTCCATAGTTACTCTTTTAAAAAAATGTTTTTACAATCCCACAAAATGTCCACGTTTGTAAGTGGCCAAGTGGTCACCGGTTACTGATCTCCACTGACTCCATTATAGACCTCATAGTTACCCATGTTTAGAGACTATTTTAGCATGAACTTATGTTGTAGATTTTACACAATCGGGGATTTAAAAGATAATGCAGTTGGTATGATAATTGGCATCAGAACGACATAATTACAGATTACATTCTATTACTGAAATTTGAATAGAAACACCTAATTTAGGATTTAATGTTGATTATTAAAGTTTTTATCACAATTTTCAGAATGAAATTATCTTTTACAATAACAGATTACATGAATGTCAGGGTTGTTATTCAAATACTCCTTATGAGAATAATAATTAAGTTTTGGTCTTGAATAACATAGTTTGACTAGTTTTCCAAACCTCACAAGTATATTGTATATTACTTCCATAAGCACAATTTCTTAAAAGCTTCATCAAGCTATGAATGGGAATGTATTTAGATAATAATTTACGGTTTAGATTACTTGAAGCTATCATGTATGGTTGGCAAACGTTTGAAGTTCATCACAATGTTCGGGAACAAAAATTCATTGTATATTACCTATAGAAAACACTAGAAAGAAGTTTTTATACTAAAACCCTGGCTGTTTAGAACACGTCCTTTGCCTTTTAAGAAGTAAAAATATTGACTTCACATAACCAGAGATGTTGATAAAGAAATAAAACACTTTCAGACCTTAAATAGCAAATGTAATCACAAATTTAGAACTTAAAACTAGGGAACACTTAACGCCTTCCACGACCACGACCGCCGCGACCTCCTCTTGGTCCTCCGCGACCACCACGGCCTCTTCCTCGCCCTCCTCGCGCGCTACCACCACCTCTAGGGAATCCCTCCCTCTTTCCTCGTCCTTTGGGCGTATCATCGATAAGTAAGGTCTCCAAAGGCAAACTGTCAGGCAGCAAGTAATACCTAATATTGTTCCCACGAATACTCAATGTCTCTAGCTGAAGTTCTTCCTTGTTTTTTAACGTAACTTTAACAGCTTTCAAGTGTGTGTTCATTGCTACATCGACTCCGGTTATCGTTCCGTGAACAACACTTCCATTCTTCAGTTCGATTGTGACCGTCTCGTGGCTCAGTTTCATTAAAAACCTAACGAGTTTCATTTTTGTTGTTTTATTAACTTGTTATATTGAAAAACAGAAGCGGCGTCGGTTAAATAGGTAACCTAAAAATCTAACCAAACAAAATAATGATGGCGGCTGTCTTTTGGCGTTTTACCAATGTTGCCAGTAGTAAGAAATGTCATTAAAACTGTTTTACTAACAAGATTACTAAACGCTAAAGCATAGTGTAATGCATTACATAATTAGTTAGATTAATTCGAAACAAATTACTTGGAAAATATTATTCCCATTAGTTATCTCCGTTATAATATGAATATCAGTTATATTTTATTTTAAAAAATTACAAATATTTTTTTGGCTATACTTAAGTCTACTTGACGCATGCTGCTATGTTAGTTAGTTTTTTATTGTCATCTGATTCTCAAGCTTTATTTTTTATTATTATCAACAACAATAAATATAAACTTCAAAATGATGAATATCGATGAGAGTTTCAATGATGAGGCGACAGCAGAAACCTTTGTGGAAGAAGAAAAGGAAAAACCAAAAGAAAAGACTGTTAGCGCTAAATTGATGCTTACTGAAGAACAGGTTGGCACAACACAAAAAAAAACACATATTTATTCTGTGAATAGGCAATAATTACCAGAAGAATAATGAAAATGAATAATATTAGTCTATTTAGTATTCTTCATGCACGTAAAATATCTACAATAGTTGGATCTCATGCCGTAGGTATTATTTAAGTCTGAGCTTTGGTTGATGCAGAGAAACGATGAGAGCAAGGAGCAAGCAATAATAATGTAAAAATAATATTGCCTAAACTCTAACAGCCACACACCTTTTTTCCATTATCTTTATAATAAACTGTGTAATTTTTATTATTGTAACACTGGATGCTTAAAACACCACAATTTTATAAGCCCGCCAGGTGTAAATACGGTTCAAAATGCATAGTAATTTTAACGACATAATTGCCAACAGAAAGGGTTAGCAACGGATTATTTAATCAATGTAAGTAATAACGCAAAACCATCTAGATTAGTATCGTTTAAAATGGACGTAAACACATTATCGGGAACTGCTGAATTTTCTGAAGATGAAAATGAACTTTTGCTACCACCTTCTGTGAAAGAAGCTGAAGCAAAATTTGCATTTACGCCCAGACAGGTAGGTAGAGGACTAGAGACGCAGTAAAATAAAGAAGCAAAATAGTAGACACAGTAAAATGAGATTCAACGAAAATTTTGTTGATGATTTATTAATTTAATTTTTTACACTGTAATCTGTATTTATAAAATAATTAAGATATTCTGTTAATGTTTATGCTCACAAGTAACAGTTACTTAAGTTTTTATATAAACGACACGTTAACTCATTCTGTACCGAGATTAATAACGACATAAATATCGAATCGCTGACTCTTGAATATCTTTAATAGATTTTCAACTGTTTTACAAAAAGCTAAAATTACAATTACGAATCCAATGGAATTTCCGACTTTTCGGTCTATCCACTTTCCTTTTTTGGATATTTATGATAATGATATCTACCTATTTTAATTTGTTTCTAGCAACGTGATTTGCTTGAAGCGTTCAATCTGCTCGACTATACTGGTGAGGGAAAAATCAAGGCGGAAGACTTTCGTGTAGCCATCAAAGCTTTAGGTAACAATTAATTAACTTTACTGGACAACACATCATCAGCTTAAAGAGGTTTACTCTGATCTATATTAAGTACCCATCCCCAAACAGTCACCGGTGACCGCTCTCCACATAGAAATATTAAAAATTCTTCAATATTATCTGTGGCTCTCCACTAACTACATTATAGACCTTTTTTTTCTTCTCCAATGTTTAGAGACTGTAGAGTATGAATTTTAGGGTTACAGAAGAGCGCCGCGAGATGCGCATGTGCATGCCTGTACAGTGGTGGCAACACCAAAAAAATTAGACGTGCCAATGAGATGCTTGCGTAAGGCGCTTTCTGGGTTTACTCCGTCTCTGGTTTCACTACTGAAGTGTTGCAAACATAATTTCTCCACCTTTTGCATCTAACTACCCCCACCTACCCTTTTAACCTCTTGACTGCCTCTTTGCAGGATATGAACCTACCAAAGAAGAGTTGCAGAAGATGGTTAACGGCGTTGACAAAGGAAATACAGGAAGGCTCAGTTTTGAGAACTTTCAAACGGCCATTATGAGAAAAATTATGTCGCTGGACAACGATGGAGATATAATGAAGAGCTTTCGTCTATATGACATGGATGATACTGGTAATTTATTGATGAATCATTACGTATAGTTGATTTAAGTCATCGATCTACCATATCAAAGTAATAGAGGTAAAGAGCTATCTAGGATTCTGGGTGTGCATGACTCTGATAGTTGGGTTCAAATTCTTGACAGTAGTAATAACGAGAATCGTTCAATAACTGTATGTTACTTGTTTTTTTAATAGTGTAAAGTCTATTAATCGATTTATCGACTACGGCAGACATTATCCTGTCTCGATCCTTGGATTAAATCGAATTTCGAAATTAGTTGTATGGAGTTTTTAATGAAAACTTATATCGGCCCCAAGATTTTGAATTAAAATCGATTAAATTACTATTTTCAGCCGTTAGCAACTAACTTTTATCGTTATTGATATCGGGACCACTGGCCCTAACTACAAGAATATGCTCTAGTACTCTGAGTAGGTAATATCCGCAACAAAAAATTAAGTTATCACTGTACCGAACGTTTTCTTTCAGGGTTAATAAGTTTCAATAATCTTAAGAAAGTTACACGTATACTTGAAATTCCTCAAACAGATGAAGAGATAGAAGAAATGATAGATGATGCAGATACGGACATGAATGGCTTTGTAAGTTATGTTTTCTTAACTATTCGGTAAAATATATAACTAATTCTTAATAAAATGTAATTAATTTCTGCATTATTGTAATTCTAGGTTTCAGTGGAGGAGTTCATGAAGATTATTAAAAATTGTGTCCATATAGTAACACCCTGAAAATTTTCTACCCATTTCTACCTCAAATTGGCTAATTTATTTTAATGGCAACAAGTAGCAGTTGAGAACTTACGAAGAAATGCAGATTTAAATATTTAAATTATTTAATTTATACTTTATTGTGATTCACTGTTAATTTAAATAATATAGTGTGTTAGTCCATCCTGTAATTATTTTATAAAACCTGCACGTATTTCAAAACGGGATTTTCTTATGTTTTGTGTACAAAACAAAGTGATTATATTTCCCTCCGAAAGTAGGATGACAGATGTGGAATGGAATCGGGGTTTTTCTACATTGATTTTTATCCTATTCTTTATTTATGCTTATGGCAACATTTACATGAAACGAATTATAAGCGAACGACATGAGAAAATAGGTACAAGTTTTATTTTCATATTCTGACTTCGCTGACTACTGTAATGCTCTTAGTTGCTCTACATAATCTATTTATTAATTAAATCCTTTTTTATTTATAAAACTTCTCTAAGTTGGTAAGATAACTAAACGTATCATCAAAATATTGATCGCTACTTCTGACAGATAAATAAAAACTTTATTTTTGTTTGGAAGTTTCGCAGAAATAGTACCTATTTTTATAGGTACTTAGTTTAATTGCAATTATAGTATAATATCTTACTATCGAAAGGGTAAATCTTAACATATAGTGTAAAATTAAATACTTTTACACGCAGTGTTAGAGCAAAAAATGGGTAAGTCATAAAAATAATTAAAGAGCTTATAATGGTTTATATTTTAAAAATAGTTAATTTTATTCGGAATGTAGCTAAGTTCAATAAGTTTTTGTATTATAATTAGTCACTGATATGATTTTGACACCATGGGTGTTTATAAAATTAGAATAATTTAAATCATATTTTTCTTAATCAATTTAATGAAAAAAACGCAACACTATCCTGTCACTGAGGTGCATCTATTTACTTCTTAATGTTTGTTTGTAAATAAATATACCTACTAAAAATTAACATTATGTATAACACCTAATTTTCGTAAATTCTCAATTTCAGATCGAGAGCTCCTGTTAAAATTTTTAGCGGAATCCCGCCTGCGCTTTGGTGACCAATATGATCCATTACTTGTCCATATGGAGCAAAAACTACTTACTTACAAACCTCTGGATATAACCGCTTGCAATCTTTTGAACGAAGACTATGGAATTGAGTTAGTTGCTAAGATACGCGATAAAGAACTGCAGTTGCAGGAAGCGGTCATGAAATATATATACATGATGACTTAGAAACGAGTAATACATAAAAAACGTTTTTATTTTCAACAGTTATAATCTGTATGGTAAAATTACCATGTTATTATGGTTAAGTATAGTTAAATTACAAATAACAAAAACATTAGGAGGAAGGATAGACTAGGAGACAAATGCCTTGCGACACGTGTCGCCAACAACGTTGTGTGAAGTAGTACAACGTTGCCGGACTTTGGTCGACAAACATGGCATCATCAACGTTGCAGTAGACTTACGTCGCCATGTATCAGGCGAAATCGTCCTACTTCGCTTGACATGGCATCGATACATGTCGCGCGACATTTGTCCCCTAGTATCCTTAGTTTAAGATTGTGTACCGAATATCAGATCAACATGTCGTCAGGAAATGGTACAAAATCAATTACTAAATTTGACCCAAATAAACATAGCAAGTTACATAAAACCGTTTATGAAAGAGACCATACTTTGAAAAATCATTTACCACATTTTGAGTTCTTTTTTACATAATGACTAGCTGGTTTTAATAATGTATAGAGCCAAACACTATATAATGGATTATTAGTCCGCCTTATTCAATCTGGGTAATGAGACACACACTATATTAAAAATAGCCTTATTTGTCTAAACAGCTAGCCATAATGTATGTGTAGATCAGGGCTGTCCAAACAACACACGTTTTAATCTCAACATCCTCATCTTATGTGCAATAACAATATTAAAACTCATTGTTTGATTTGTATGCAAGTTTTATCTGTGAGTAAAGAATACAATGTTAAACGTCATTATATTACTGATAATTTTTTTGGCTCGCCAGCTTTTGTAAGACATTTAATTAGCCCGTGAGGGTATATAGTATGGACAGCCCTGATGTAGATTATATTATAATCTGCTTGCGACATATATCTTTATTGAGATCTATTATTGTAATCAGTGCTTCTCAATACCAATATACAGCCAATATTCAGCCTTAGTATCAGTTTGTTTTACGCTTAAGTGGTCAAAACGAGACGGCATTCAGCGCTGTAGTTGGTTCATTGGAGCCAGTAATAAGCCATTAGAGTTTATCCAGTTACTTCTAGCTACTATCTCGCTAGGGCTATAATATTGGTGAGGCGGGAATTGGACAAAATCAGTACCTTTAATAATGATTCTAGTCAGTATTAATTGCGCTTTATGATTTTCGAATATATTTCTAATATTTGTAGATAACTGTGTTGTTACCAATCATGCTGTAAAGAAGTCAAAACACCTACTGTTATACTGCTTACTATAAGTACATATTTATCAAATTTTGTGTTATTTAATAAATAAATAATACTTTTAAACTGTTGTTTGATTTATTAATAACAGACATTTTATTCTCCCTTTCATTGCCGATTATAATTAGTACAAAAATCCTCACCCCTACCCTTAATTACATGGAGTCATAACATAAATAATGAAAAGTGGGTGTTAAATTGTACAGTGGCATTATGTGTCGTAATGTGCAACTCTGCCTATCCCTTCGGGGATAAAAGACGTGATGTTATGGTTATGTCATATATCCTCAAATACTTGATGTTAAATCAAAATCAATATTTTCCACTATCCTGTTTTGCCGACACCAACACGAATTCAATTTCCCGCCAATTTTCTAATAACCAATAGCATGCGTGAATGTGACACATGTCAAAATAGAAATCTTATCGAGAAGACAACGTCTTGCATACTAAGCAAGCTACTAAACGTAAAACCCACTGATAATATTTTTATCGGTTGATTTATACTGGTTTCCGATATATTAGTTCATTATAATGCTCTTGTCTCTTGAAAGGTTAAATAAAATCACGTTTTAGTGTATCTTAACTAAGATTTAATTACTGAATACCTACGTGTAACAAAACGTATCACCAAATTATTGATCGGCACGATCGGTGCATTCGTCGATAAAAAGAACGTAGCTTGCTGATATAGCTTGGAGTTTGAAAATTGAAAATAATATCACTAGGTGAATCAGCTAAAGTTAAAAGACGTGTACGTTCATCAACTACTTTCACACCTCGTGTGAAAACAAAAAATGGGTAAGCTATTCTACATAATATAAAAATTAAAACATTTAGATATTAAGTATTGAGAATTGAAAAAAAAATTGAAAGGGGAAGTACGAAATTAATATTGCGCAGGAAGAGTTCATAGAAAAAAATGTTTTTTGGATTGAGATTGGAGAAATGCGCATAACAAATTATAAGCCGGTATTTTTTTCTGTAAAATATTTTATAAATTGGTAATCTGGCCGTCGCGCAAAGTGTAACGGGTTCGACTACCGCACGGAACAACTTTGTGTGATCCACAAATGGCTGTTTCGAGTCTAGGTTTCATTCGTATATTAGATTATAAATTTTTGAACCTGCACCGTTTTTATATTAATTTAACACCCAGTAAAACTAACTCTGTCTGTAATCTAATGCCCCTTAATTCTCTTTCCAGACCCAGATTACCTGTCTCACTTATATGCAGGCGGCCACGGCAGTTTTATCAACGTTTTAGATGCGAATGTGTCGCAGATGGAACAACAGATTTATAAATTGCAACATTTCTATGCAGTCAACTCAGCCGCTCGTGAAGCGTACAAGGATGCTTTACTCGCTGAAATACGAGTAAAGCAAATGATGCTTCAAAAGATTTTGGCTGAAATGACACATGATGTTTTCAGGTTGGTGGCTCGAACCAACCCCTATGTGAGGCAATTACGTCGTTACCCTTGCAAGCTGTAAAGGCATTTCATAGTTTCGGTTTCCACAAAAAAAAAATGTATGTCACATTAATTAAAATTATTTCATGCGTCAATAAAAATTGAATATCGCATAACGCCACAGCACAGGCGTTCTTACTATATTAGGCTGTATTCTTAAGGCCTTCGCATTGCTTTTGAATGTGCAATTTGAAACCTCTCTTTGGTCAAGTTTGGTCTTACGTTGTAACAATTAATATGTTTTAATATTTTGTTTACAATTTATTTAATAGTGATATTTTATCAATAAACTTAGTTATTAAACGTTATTTTCCTTTATTGTGGTATAAATTAATAATTGTGTGTAGTTTAAACTCTTTATCATTAAATAAATATATAATAATTCCAAACTTGTGTTTTAATAATTTAACTTGTATCACACTTAAATAATTCAAATCTCTATTCTTTTCCCTCCATTCCGTCTCGGTACTTAAGTGTAATAAAGCCATCATTGATATTCCTGTTTTTCCAAAGAGTAAAAATAGCAACAGAGACTTGTCTGTGGTTTCGTAACTTACAAGAAAAGGGTATTTTAAACTTTTAAATATAAACAATTTAATAACATATTTTATCCTTGATTTAAAAAAAAAACTATACGACTGTTAATAATTGATTTTTTAAATAACAAAAGTCTCAAGTTCTGGACTCGACCAAATGTTATTCTAATAAAATATCATTCTACTCGACTAAATTATTCATTTCGTGTAACAAAACGTGTTATTTTAATACTTTGACACATTTGACAGTTACCGTTTCAAAATAGTTTGAATATTTTTGTTTTGATTGCTGATCTTGAAAAAATTGGATTGATTGATCAAGATATTGGTATCTAAAAAAAATACTGCATAATTTATCTTTATTGATATCTATTTCATTGTATTTTCGCAATAAGATGGGTAAGTCACATAAAACATTAGAAAAACAATGTTCTTGTAAACATTACAAGTACAATCTCAGTAATTTTTACAGATTCAGTGGATTTAGAACTTGAAACTAAATGCGAGAATGCGTTGAACTTAGTCGCAGAATCACGGAAACGCTTTGGCAAGCTATGCGTTGAATACGATCAAAAAATGCTGTTGATGGAAAACAAACTATTAAATTTACAAGTAGAGACGGTATCAAACTACCGTTTCAAACCTAAAAACACTATTCCTAACATAGACGAAGACTGTACTAAAGATTTGGACGATTTATTTGTCGAAATTAGCGAAAAAGAACAACGGTTGCAGGATGTTATGAGAAAATTGAAAAACACACATGAAGTTATCATGCAATTGGATGCTGATGTCATTGGAAAGAAGTTACGCGCTCCTCTGAATGCCGATACAATGTTGGCGCAAGCTAAAGCTAGTAAACTTTTAAAACCATAGCCTATAATTTTTTTTTTGTGAATGGTAATCTGATTATTCAGCCTTGTACTAATATGCTTTTGGATATTCAAACTCTATACAGTAAATAGCTCTTGAACATCATAATCAGTCTTAGCGCTCACTGCTAAGCCTTTCAAATTGGACCAGTAGTTTCAGAGATTAGAGCGTGCAAACAAACCAACTCTACAGCTTTATATAATAGTATAAGTCCAGGTTTAATCATAATGTTTTATTTCTTTGTATGTCATTGTCAGTGATCTTATACTATTATATAAAGCGGAAGAGTTTGTTTGAATGTGCTAAGCTCCGCAACCACAGGTCTGATTTGAATAATTCTTTTTGTGTTGGATAGCGCATTTATTGAGGATGGCTATAGGCTATAAAATATCACGCTACGACCACCCCATTTGACCAACAAAAATCCATTTTGAGTCATTTATTTTCAAGTTATAAATGGTTAGATCATGAACTAGGAAAAGTGGTGGAAGAAATTATCAATATGTAGATTCTAATATAGTTATAGAATTTAATGTTTAATAGTATGATATGAATGAATTAATAAATATTTTTTAAATTGTTGTCTCATTTTTTTTGTTTTTACTCTTGTCATTCTCGCATGGTGATAAGCGATGATGCGGTTTACGATGGAGCATGACTTTTAATTAGAAACTGTAGTTTTAGTAAAACATGTATTCAATGGCTAATAATTTAATAAATAATAAAGAGAATGTAGAGCCCTCTTCCATTGCTGTTGAAGACTGTAAAGATATGATCGAAATTTTTGAAATGGGATGAGAATCGAAGAATTATAATTAGTGCATAATAAAAATTTCAAATATCAACTCTACCTATAATATTGTATAGTCTATGAACTGTACATGGGCATTTTTTTATAGGGGTCAAATCATCGAATGACTTCTCCCGCCTGGGTGAGGCGGGAGGGAGTGTCAGACTCTTAATGACTAAAAACCACCCCGTTCCTACTCCTGCACTTCGAGCCGGAGCCCTAACTCGTTAGGTTCTCCGTGGCAACTCAACATGGGGTTCATATTTTTTGGGAATCTTAATTATAACGGTAATTAATAAAAGGTTATTTATAATGTCTAACTGCCTCGTTGGTCGAGTGGTCGCTAGTGCGACTGCTGGGCAAGGGGTCTCGGGTTCGATTCCTAGGTCGAAAAAAGTATTGCTGGGTGTTTGAAAAATTCTCAGTAGTCTGGTATTGTGCACGGTATATGCCTATATGGCAATAGGCTCACCCCCTTTTACATGGGACTCATAACATAAATAGTGAAAATTGAGTGTTACATTGTTGGAATCTAATGCCGTAATATTATGCACCTCTTCGGAGTTAAAAAGCGTGATGTTGTGTTAATTTATAATACACGACTTTGCAATTTTAGGCTTTTTTGTTTTTACGTAATAGTTTTTAGAATGTAGCTAAAACTCATGCATGTAACGAAACGTGTTTTCAAAATATTGATTTTTAAATTTGACATTTCAGTAGCTAAGCTAAATATTTGGACGATTATGACGACTTTGAACCTTGATTTTTAAGTGAAAAAGTGATATTTACCAAAGAAATACCACTATTAATCTTCATCTATCGCTTTTACACCCCCAAGTAGAAGCAAAACTAAAGATATGGGTAAGTTATAACGAACAGCGAAACATTATTTATTTAAACATATTGCGCAGTATTCCTCGCTGCTGAAGGTCGTGGTTCCGTCCTTGGGAAATCAATTTTCTTTTGTAAACGTCTAGAAATAAAGGAAAAGGATTATTCAACATTATTTAAGATCTATTCTTTCCTTCATGAAGGCTTCCAGTGTTGAACGTTTTTCTTATGTAAATATGTAGATATTTATTTGGGCTATGACCTATTAACCTCTGTAGGTACCTCTCTGTCTTCCTCGTTTCACCTTATCACTGACTATCAGAGTCTGCCTGTCTTACCATCTAAGTACCTGAATTGCTTCTAAAGATAGAATCAGTACAATTATGGGATAGGTAAGCCGGTAAACGATCTGACGGATCACCTGATGGTAAGCAATCAGCGTCACCCTTGGACACCCAGAACACCAGAGGTGTTACAAGTGCGTTACCGGCCTTTTAGGGATTAGGAATTTGAGGATTGTTGGGCATTCAGGGATTGGGGAGGGGGAGGTTAATTGGACCTCCAGTAACATTAGGTACTCAAACAACGAAACACAATATGACCATGTTTCATGTCGTTTTTCTGTGAGGCCATAGTGTCAGTCTGGTTGAGTCAACAAAAATGTGCTTAGGCCTTATTCTACAGAACCGTTGGCCGAGTGGTCGCAAGTGCGACTGCCGAGCAAGGGGTCTCGGGTTCGAGTCCCGGGTCGGGCAAAGTATTACTGGGTTTTAAAAAAATTCTCAGTACTAGCACGGAGTCTGGAATTGTGCCCGGTATATGGCAATAGGCTCACCCCCTATTACATGGGACTCGTAACATAAATAGTGAAAAGTGGGTGTTACATTGTACAGTGGCATATTGTGCACCTCTGCCTACCCCTTCGGGATAAAAGGCGTGATGTTATGTTCTGTTGGCAGAATGTAGGTAGTTGGATGCAAAAGCTTCCTCTTTGTCCTTTGATATTTATTTTGTTGCTAAAGTTTCCTTGGCCTTCTCCTCACATGAGCCTGTATACTGATATAGGATGTGGTACAGCCATTCTTTGTCAATTAGCCTTTACCACATTTTCACAAAACAAATTTTCTTTTCAGATCACGAACTTCTCTCAAAGATGTTTGCTGAATCCCGTCAACGCTTCGGCAAGCGCTGTGATCCACAGATGGTGCAGATGGAGAACAAATTACTCCATCTACAACCTTTTGATGCAGGAGAACTCAATCTTAGTGATCCTACTAAGAACGAGTTGTATGCAGAGATGAGAGAGAAAGAGATGCAGCTTCAAAAAGCTATAATGGACTTGATATATGCTCATGATGTCATGATGGAAGCCGAAGGTCGACTTTATGGGAGGAAAATGCGTGGTCTTCTTTGTAAGCTGTAAAAAAAAGCCCATAAGCCTGTCTGGCCAAGACTATTCTTGTACAGCTTTGTTGTAGAATAGTTTTGGGTGTGCAAACTCTTTGGTGTCTCCTGGTTTGTTTTATTTATATTTCATTTGCAGTTGTTGCAAGAAAGAATTATCATAGATAATGGAAAAATGTCCTAAATTAGGTTAGGCACCCGGGTGCCAAGAACCTGCTCATATGCTAAAATCTTTAATGTATTGGTAGGATGCGAAAGGGCACCAGGGTGTTTGTTTGATGCCAAATGTTAGCCCCTTGGCCCTCATTGAAACCTACAACTCCATATGAACCATAAAGTAGCCTCTAACCATTAGGCTTTCATCTATATGTGTGTTACAATTTAATCAAAATACTTACAGCAGTTTAGATGTGTGTGCACAAACACAATTTTGTTTTAGCAAAAAATAGTTAGAAATGTTGTGGTATATACTCTCTTTTTATGAGCTATTCCTACCATGTTGTTGATTTGTTGCCTTGTATTAAGTGTTTATTTATATCTAAGTTGAATTTATATGTGTAAGTACAAAAAGGTTGGGGACGACTAAGAATAGATGGATAGATTCATTGGCGTAACTATATTGTGGCAAATTCATTGTATGGGCCCCTGTACCCGATAAAAAACAGAGAAGTTCAGATAAAATCCTCTGAAATGCCCTTCCACTTGTGGGCCCCCCAAGTGGAAAGGTATTTTGCCGACATGTAGTTACGCCACTGGATAGTTTGGGTGAGGAATGATATGAAAGAGAAAGGAGTCTGTGATAGAAGAGAATGGATAGGGGAGATATTGGTACAGACCCCAAGTAGCTTGGGCAGGGCAAGAAAAAGACTTAACGAGAATGGAATAAGGGTATAAAGAAGACTTCTAGTCAGTCAAAACGTGAATTCTAGTCAGTATTACGCTTTTTATTCTACAAAGCTGTAGGCAGGAAACCTCAAATTGATCTCTCTTTAATTTTTAATGCAATCTCGAGTCTCTCATATAAAATAATATTTTACTTTAAATGTTTATTAAATGTCGTAAAAGCTTAGAATAGATCACACAATTTGTTGTACACCGTCATATAGGCATTAGAAACTGGTACAGATGTTATGGAAGCTACACAAAAGAGGCACATGTCGTTTACAAGTAGGGGCTCACTCGACGTAGCACTGGAGCAGTGAACTCCTAGATAAAAATAAAATAAATAAAAGTAATTCAAACAATTATATGTTAAAAATATTGATTACGATTATCAAAAAGTGTTAATTGTTTAATATTCATCTTTTTGTGGGGGTTTCTACATTTCTACAGTGCTCCTTCGATTGGGCAGTTTACAAAATGATGAAGTTTAATATCTAGTAAACTGGAAATGGTAGCTCTGTACTTTAAAACCTGCTATCAGAATGGACTGCATTGCAGCAATCCTACAAGTTAAGTGATTTGGCTGTGCTGCGGTTCCGAGATATATCATCCATTGTTTAACAAAAAATGATGGGTCACGATTACACTAAGTGTTGTTGGATAAAAGGAACAATGCTGCAATGTAGTTTCTCTGATGGTGTGGATTTAGGATGTGCAAAAATTATGATAATGGTGTGCCAACAAATATATTATCAAATATGTTAACATTGCAATGTAATTTTCATGTTATATAGTACCGATTATATAGTATTTTAGGTCACAATGATCACTATCACCTTTTGCTCACCAAATGGCTATAATGCAGCATGAGGACCTGCTAGAAGAATATGAAATCATTGGATTTAAATTACAAAAACGATAGGTCATGATTTCATGAACATGTGGTATTTTTTTACAGTTATAGTCATCGGACTTAAGACCTTCCTCTACATTAGTGACATCTGGTGAACAAAAATAAAATGGTAGCCCTCATTTGACTCTCATATTATAGGGTCCTGTTTTATTGAGTCATTGATTTGATCATATAACAATGGTTTGTCAATTAAATAGGGCCCGTTAACATATATAATTATAAATGTATTAGAAAGTGATAGTAGATTGTAGTTTTAGATTATAGCAAGTTATTTATTGACTGTATTCTTTATTAATGAAATATTAATGTTATTAATAAATAAACATATCGTATATCTGATATCATTTTTTATTTGTGGGGGGGGGGAGGACAAATACTTGATGCCTTCTAGTGAAAGAAAAAATATTTATAGCAACCTCTTTTCCCATGGTCAAAATAAAATAATACTTTATAGCAGGACTTGAGCTTACCTACCTAGTACCTTATTGGTGTGTCAAAGCATTTTTAAATACATTCAGGCAATTCAGGACCTAAGGACTAGTGAGCCAATAAATGATTTTATTTGCTAATTATTGTATTGACATGCATTACTTTGAAATATTATGATTCACTGTTTTCATTTTGTTTCAATAATATAAAAAATAATAAACATTCAACTCTGCACCATCATGATTTTTTATTGACTCCTTTGTGTTTTTTGAATGCTGGTGTATCCGAACGCGAACAGTATTTTAAAATTTGACTTATTGATAAATAATCTGTTCCGGTTGTAGCATAGACAAGAAAGTTATATTTTTTTAATATAAAGCATAGCTTACACCAACGGCAAAACATAAATCGAAATAAAATAAAATAATTTTAGTAAGTAGTAGAAAATAACATTATTTACATTGGAATGATGTTTTAATACTTATACTGCTTTTATATAAAAACGTAATACAGCGTATCGGAAAAATATACCTTATAGTGCCTAATCCTTACACAACTTTTCACAGAGTTTTGGTAACTAAGCAACCATTTTTTGTCAAAGTTGTTGATCTTTGATATGGTGATCAGGAAATTCTGCGAGCTATTTCAGAAATCCATTACGCAAGAATTTAATCTTGTTACTTTTCGCGTATTAACTTCATTAGTGCAAGTTGAAGGAGTAAGAGAGCAAAAAATGACCGAACTTCAAACCCTTTTTAAAGAACATTGCGTTGTTCCTGATGTGATAAATATATCCCCTTCAGAATTGTTGACCATAAAATATCCGAGTGGTTCTGTCGTAACAACGGGTAAAGAGTTGACCCCTACTCAAGTTAAAGATCAACCAGTTGTCCAATGGGCTGCTAAAGAGGACGAATATTATACGCTAGCAATGGTTGATCCTGATGCCCCAAGCCGTGAAGAACCAAAGTTTCGTGAATGGCATCACTGGCTGGTAGGAAATATTCTTGGCGGACATATTGGGAAAGGCGAGATATTGTCTGAATATATTGGATCCGGACCCCCTAAAGGAACAGGCTTACACCGCTATGTATTTTTGGTATACAAGCAGCCTGAAAAATGTGATTTCTCTAAAATAACAAAGCTCCGTAATAATTCAGGCGAAAAAAGAGGAAAATTTTCTATTGCAAAATTTGCGACGCAATTCAAATTTGGAAGCCCGATTGCTGGCAACTTCTATGTAGCCAAATATGATGACTACGTGCCGAAATTGTACGCTAAATTGAAGGGCTAATTTTATTTATGAACTTTTCAAATTGTTACTAAAAACTAAAAACAACATCGAAATTGTAGAAGGTGCTTTATGGTGGAACATCCGATTGTCTATGGTAGCAATCAATAATTTCCGCCTCCGCGTGACATTTCCATTTTTCGGCCGTCTGTCCGCCATTACATTTTGGGAGTTTGCGTAAATTGGTCGTAGCTCTGCGAGCACGCATTACCGCGCCGCGCGTTATCAGTGACAGTTTATTCGACTTCGTGCGTAGTATCGCAGCGTTTTGTGAAACCAAGAGTATAGACGTTCAATCGTATGTCCATCCAGAATCTGAACACATTTGACCCATTCGCCGATGCTATCAAAAGCTCGGAAGACGACGTACAAGATGGTCTAGTCCACGTCCGTATTCAGCAGCGGAACGGGCGTAAGACTCTCACAACGGTGCAGGGGCTCTCTTCGGAATATGACTTGAAGAAGATAGTGCGGGCATGCAAGAAGGAGTTCGCGTGCAACGGAACCGTCGTGGAGCATCCGGAGTACGGCGAGGTGCTGCAGCTTCAGGGCGACCAGCGCGAGAATATTTGTCAGTGGCTCACGAAGTCGGGCCTCGTCAAGCCCGAGCAGCTGAAGGTGCACGGCTTCTAAGCCTGCGCTAGCACACGTAACATGACCATCTCTCGCCTGCCTACTTTCACACAACTTACTGTACACAGGCTGTCCCGTTAGGTTATTTCTAATAAAACGCTATGCTGGTTTTCAATCAACTGAACTTTGTTTTAATATATTTGAACATTACTCAGCCGTTCATCCGGTCAGTTCATTCTAATGTTTGTTAAAATTAACATAAGCAACACTAGCTGGCATTAGAAGTAACTATAAATAATTGGTTATTTTGTTATATCTATTTTACAATTTCATACTTGTAAAGACCATGTTATTTATTTAACAAATTATTGATTGAATTACATGTTAATTAACAATAATTAACAATTATGTTAACAAATTATTAATTGAATCATAATAATGCGCACGCTCTCACGATATAGGTAAGAAGACTATGAACGGTGTGCCTGACGCGGTGGGCGCTGTGTCGTCCACAAATAAATATTGTGTACTTCGTGAGATATTGTAATCAATTGTTGCTTTTGTTTGCTAGTATTTTCGAGAAACGAACATAATAAAGGCGTGATAACATTCATGAACCAATGATTTTAATTCATTTATCACTGATGTCTAATGCAATTATAAAATTATTACAAGTCCATTGACGCACGGCAACTGTCATACAGAGCTATGTAGGAGAATAAATTCTGTGTACATTCCTCGCTGTCTTAAATGTTGTTAGACGTGTTTATTAGTTACGCATCAACGTGTATGAAATAGCAACGTTAGTAAATCGTCGAGAATATCGCTCGACAAGGAGGAAGAATCGAGTTTTATTAGCAGTTTTGAAGTGTTATTGTGGTTCTTATGTGTTGGGCACAAGAGCTATAATAAAGATACAGGAAAAAACGGTGTGAGTCACGTCCTCGATATAGCGAGGTTGTTACCGTGAGGTCACCGCCTCGCTAACTGTACTAAATATTGTGAAAATCAAAGATTTTACGATTAATTTCATTCAGGTACATGAAGGTGCAGAATAATTGAGCTTAGAATAACCGCCAGGCCCCAATCTAGATTAACGAATAACCTTTATTTTTTTTATCTGACGATTAGATGTCGAAGCCGAAGGTATATCTTCGACGGACGGTTATGTCAACAGATAACTTATTATTACTCATGGCCATGGCTAAATATAATTTTACATCATTATTTACACAAAAACATCGTTTTCGAATTCCTGCAATAGGTACAGAGAATAAATAACGTTGGATAAATTGCTCCAAGAAATCTACGGTGACATCACAGTTCGGTCTAACGGCATTGCTGACGCGTCGGAGAATGTAAGTAGGTAATCTCGCCAAAAGTGTTCAAGAGGAAGTAACATGTCGTAGGTATTAATCTCGAAATTATAAAACAAATAGACAAAACTCTGGTTTTCGAAGCACGTGGTAATTTCGGTGGACGTCAACCCTAATATAAAAAAAATCTGATGAAATATCTTTGGGCCCTCCCGTGTTATTTCATCCAGTCATGGAGGACTATGTTTTGCAACATGTTTCCGAACCCTACATGCAAAGCTTGATGCTAAAACTTGAGTTCAACGTGCCGAGACGTTGATATGAAAACGAAGAGGCGAACAAAAACAGCACGATCTGAAGAATGCGTCATCTTGGCGTCAAATACTTTTTCAGATCATTTCAAAGACACTTCTAGACGTCTAGGATTCTAAACACATCTTCGTAAATAAATATCTTATCTACTTTTATCATGAAAACATTAAACACATAAATATTCCTGTTTGCATAAACGATAAACAAATTACATTTACGTAGAAATGTAAATTACCTACATCAATTCTAAATATTGTGTGTAAATACAGACAACGTTCGGCTGTCCGATGTGAATCACCACGTGTTTTTAGCTGACTGATGCAATTACAATATTCATGTTATTGTTAAATAGACTGAACAGTCAGACAGCCAAAGCTTCTTAAGCTTTAGGTTTTTTTTAAGACTAGACAATGTCTCCTACCTGTGCGGCCTTTGTCTAGCAAAATGGTGATTCTTTTTCAGTGCAAAATAATTGTTTTGACCATTGTTTTGTAAGAACAACAATGCAACAATGCAAAAATATGAAAAATGTTAAGTAAAGGGATAATGGAAGTTAGGTAGGTACAAAGTCAACGAAATTGGTGATGTTAGCAGTTAAAAGAATTTGAAAGAAAAATGCCCACGAGGCTAACTTAACGTGAAATTGATGAATGTGGAATGAATGAAGAGAAATAATACTGTCAGGTGTACCGTTTTGTTATTATTTACCGTTTCATTGTTAACTCCCCTTGGGAGTCAGACGTTACAAAATACTTAATGTGCCTACAAAAAATTAAAATTGATTTTTTATGAGGCAAAATGCCACATTGCTATTTGTATTTTCATAGGCGCTACTGAAGCGAGACTAAATAATTCCATAAAAAGGTAATTTTTTAATTGATACTTGTAAATTTAGCACCATGTAAAATATTTTTATATAAAAATACTATGGTATTAAATTTAGCAGTTATGACGATGTATTGCACGACCTAATTTTAAGTATATTTTGTATGTATTTAGTCGCAATATACGAATACCAAGTAAACATGTGGCAATTTATTTCATGACTTCTTGCGTGTAACAGTTATATAAAATACCTGCAGTTGCTAATCTTAACAAATTACTTAATTTACCTAGGCACCAGATTGCTTCGTGTTCATACATCAATTCTACAACATAAGATACGTGTAAATACTCCGCATCTATCAACAATTAATAATAAGTAAGTATGATACAAAGAATGCAGGAATTAGTACAAGTAGGTACTAGGTACATGTTCGCATACTTCTTCAGCCTCTTCAGGAGACATAAACTGATAAAGGTTAATGGATACAGATCGCTTCCGACCCAACTAACTTATCTAGATGTCATTGGAGGAGGCCTACATATGTCCAGTGACATGATGGTTCCCGCTTCTCATGAGAGCACCGTTTCGAAACCTACCTACCAACGACAAGTACTAATGTGACTTTTTCCGCGTTATATGTACTTTCTAAGATTATTTAGACACCGCTAACAAACGGTGAGGGAAAAATATTGTGAGGAAACCTAGGTTTATAATTTGTAAATATAAGTTTGGAATCGCCAATCCGCATTCAGCAAGCGTGGTGATTAATGTTCAAACCTTCTCGGTGTGAGAAGAGGCTTTGCTCATTAGTGGGCATTAAAGGCTGTTGTTAACGATGATATGTTAAGGGGGCTTACTCTTGAAACCAATTCCGATTGATTGACATTGGTATTGTGAAATTTCGTACTCTTGAGTTGCAACACTAGCGCCCATTGCATCCGTATTGGGTGGATATATAATGAACTAAATGGTCTTGAGTTTGGCTATAAATTCCGTACTCTGAATGCTATTTCAACAGCTGCGATAGGGTTGTATAATTTTTACATTTAATAATTATTGAGATTTTGTTGGATTGAAATTGAGATTGGGTTCAAGAGTAAGCTAACAGTTGCGTTGTGTGTGTTTAATGGCCTGATGTGATCTTACTCATATTATAAATATGAAAGTTTGTATGTGGGAATTTTTGTTAGGTCCTCAACCAAGTAAAACCGGTTGAAGGGTTTGGGATGTGGAACAGGGATAGATTGTGGTCTGAAGTAACACATAGGTTACTATCCCACGGGAACGCGGGCGAAGCCGTTGACAGAAGCTAGTTATAATATAAGTACTAGCGACCCTCACCGGCTTCGCACGGGTGCAATACGCATGAATTATACATATAAACCTTCCTTAAGAATTATTCTATCTATTAAAAAAACCACGTCAAAATCCGTTGCGTAGTTTTAAAGATCTAAGCATACATAGGGACAGACAGACGGCGGATAGCGACTTTGTTGTATACTATGTAGTGATGATGTATAATACTATCTCCATTGTCCATGTCCTAAGCTTCACTGACTGCATATTTTTTTTGGATAGGAAAGATTCTTGCTCACTCGTAAGTTACAGGAGCATGGAAAGACTTTTGTTTTAAAACAGTAGGTAGTGTGTTAATCTAAGGTCCATAGGCAATAAAATAACTTGCAAAAACGGGCTGTTGGCTGGCTCTAAGCTTAAATCTTTTGTGTTTAGGGAGGCAATAGGCTTGGCGTTTACTTACTAATTTGTATTTTACCTAAAATGGGTATAGGTTGATCCAAGATCAAGTAATAAGAAAATAAGGGAAGGTAATGTTTACGTTAAATTGTAAATTTGAAGAATTCTTTCCTTTACCAATTAACTCTTTGAGTACCGTCATTATAGACTGTTTAATTTCCGACTTTGATTGACTGTTGATGTTCTGAAATGATACAGCTTTTACCGCAGGTACTACCTACGGTAAAAGCTGGAAGCGTTGAGATGTTTACAAATAATTAATTATGAATTAAACTAACTGTCAAATAGATTTTACTATCCATCTGTAGTTAAATTAAGCGATGATTCATGATTATACATGTACGGATAGCCCAATTATGGCCCTTGACCTTGTTGAACCATTGTATCGTAGTTAGTTTCGAAGAAGACTTCTTTAAAGACTTTTGCAGGATGAAAATATTAATTTATGATGGCAATAATTTGCATTTAGCCAAGGACGTTTTTCAATGTTCTTGTATTTAGACAAAATTTAGCATTATTTTATGATTTCCCATAAAACGTTCCGTTATTAACCGTTGTTCCATTTTACAGCTGAAACGGAACGAAACGTTGATGATTAATCTGCCAATCTGACGTTTATTTGACAACATTAATTTTGGAAATTCTGCATTGTATCCGCAATACTTATTTGGGAACAATTCTAATTAAATCCAATATAAATAAAATTTAAACACTTAATAATAAGTATGCTATATTAAATAAGAAGTCTTTCAACTGACTTCTGCAATTCCTAATTCAAATAAGGTAGTGTACACTCTGGATATAACTTCGTTTATGAAATTTACCTTTTTAGATGCTTATTGTTGAATAAAATTACAGTTTTATGAAGAAATAAGAAGTAAAGATGTCGGATAAGTTGTTGACGCTGGGCCAGCGGGTGATGGTGGTCGGTAAAGACGTAAAAGGCTCCGTCGCTTACGTAGGATACCCCACCTTTGCAACTGGGAAATGGATTGGTGTAATTCTGGATGAACCGAAAGGAAAAAATAATGGCACTGTTCGAGGACACGCTTATTTTACGGTAATATTGTGTTACTAATTTTTTCTCATACATGCTAGCTTTATCCCAACTAGATTGAGGTCAAAAATAATTCTGACTCCTAAATGTCAGTAGGTTACTCACAGCGACTGTGATTTACTCTCCAGTAAGTTAGAAAGACAGCCCTTGAGCAAATATGGTGATTAATGCTGAAGTGCCTAATAGGCACTCAGGCCCTGAGAGTGGGCACTTGTGTTGATGATGATAAAAATTAGAATATTAGATTCAGTGTATTTCCATTTGTTTTTATATGAGCTGCTACAAATTGTGTAGCCTTGTAAGTGGAGTGAGTGTAATTATGACAGTTGACCAAGAAATTGAAACGCAGAG